AAATTTAAAATATAGGCATACTTTAGGATGTACTACAATATGATATATAACAATTGTCATGTAAACACGCGCATGCACGTGCGTTGCAATCTGATTGGCTTAAACTTTAAATGGCTATAACTCCCTTGTTTTTCAACGAAACAGTATGGGATTTAGAACATAGACAAACATAATGGACTCCCACAAGGAGGTATGGTCGTCATGCACATTTATGCACATGCATGCACGTGCATGCACGTGTGCTTTGCTGTGAATCGCTGAAACAAAAATCGCAATATCTTTTTCTAATTTTTGACGAAATGCTTTAAAATTTTAAACATAATCATGCATTAGGATGTCCTACAATATGATATATAACAGCTGTCGTGAAAACATGCGCATACACATGCGCTGCAATCTGATTGGCTTAAACTTAAAATGGCTATAACTTCCTCGTTTTTCAACCAAACAGGATGGGATTTAGAACATAGACAAGCATAACAGACTCCTATAAGAAGATACAGTCGACATGCACATGCATGCACGTGCGTGCACGTGAAATGAGTAAAATTACAAATACACTAGATTAAAACGTATTTTTTAATACTTTTGGATAAAACGCTGAATTTCTAGTATAAAAAATAGTGTAGACAAGATGATATGGTCATTACGCACATGCATTCAAATGCGCATGCGTGCAATGCATAAATTTGAATATACTGAATATACTTCTGGGAAAACATTGTTATAGTCTAAAAGGCATAGAGTTCGTCTTATTTAATGAAGCTTACAGGGAATAAGGCACCATAAGGGAGTTGGGGAGCGTTTGGGGAACATCTGTAACGGTTCCCGTTACAATTAGCCCTAGTTATTATTATTTTTCTTCTTCCTGGGAAAATTTTGTCCTCGAGTGATCTTGTAAACTACATATCCGACTTAGGTGAAACCTTTTTAGGGTCAGTAGGCATGTTATGTAGAGTTGCCGAACGAAGGTCATTTTGCGCGCACGTGCTTGCAAGAGCGCGCACGTGCAACACATGAAATGACCAATATAATGAATATTGCTGTAACTTTTCTTTTTCTTGATGAATTTTTTTGAAACTCATAATGTAAGGATACATTAGTAGTATAGACAAGATGGCATGGTCAAAATAGCAAGATCTCACGAGCATGCACGTGCGCTTCGCTCTGATTGGCTGAAACTAAAGTCTCAATATCTTTCTTGTTTCTTGTCATAATCTTTTGAAATTTTGGACATAGTCCTACATTATGAAGATCTACAGCATTATATATAAAAATTTTCATGAAAGCATGCGCATGCGCTTGAACTGCAATCTGATTGGCTGAAACTTTAAATGGCTATATCTACTTTGTTTTTTGACGAAATGCTTTGAAATTTAAAACATAGTCATGCATTAAGAAATCCTAAAATATGATTTAGAAAAAATTCATGAAATCACGCGCATGCACGTGTGCTGCAATCTGATTGGCTGAAACTTTATATGGCTATATCTCCTTTGTTTTTTGACGAAATGTTTGGAATTTTAAAATATAGTCATTCATTTAGATATTCTTTAATACGATAAAGATAAAAATTTATGAAATCACGCGTATGCATGTGTGCTGCAATCTGATTGGCTGAAACTTCAAATGGCTAAAGCTCCCTTTTTTTTTAACCAAACAGGATGGGATTTAGAACAAAGATAAATATAAGGGACTTCTACAAGAAGGTGTATTCATCATGCACGTGCTTACACGTGCATGCACGTGAAATGAGTAGGATAAAAAAAACCACTCGAATGGGTGTATTTTTTAATACTTTTGGATTAAATACTTTGATATCAAGTATATTGAAATATATGGATAGTGTAGACAAGATAATATGATCATCACGACATGAACACGCGTGCAATGTTTACATTTAAATATAATTTGTATTCTTTTTGGGAAGACTTTGATTAAGTCTAAATTACATATAGTATTTCTTATTTAAAAGAGATTACAGGGAATATGGCACCAAAAGGGAGTTGGGGAGCGTTTGGGGAACATCTGTAACGGTCCCCGTTACAATTAGCACTAGTTTGAAATTGTGGGGACACCAAAATATACCGATGCTGTGTGCCACGTAATATCTGAAAATTTTTGATTTACACTGAAAGACATTGCTAAGACACTAAACATTTTATCAATTGGAAAAAAATATAATATTTCTATCAGATAGGTGCCCTTTTTTTATCAGTAATGCTTTAGAGAAAACACGCGTCAAATGTGCCAACGGTCTATTAAATGAAGAAATTTTTAACAAAATCGAAGATTTAATAACTTGCTTGATGGATGACAAAACATAGGTCACTTATATAGCCGAAACAATTCTAGAATAACAAATGTGGAAGCAAAGAAAAACGTTCTCTTTTTTTATATTAATTATTATGGTAAAGAGAATCAAGGGTTCCAAACATGTATTAATAGTTTTTATGCATTTTGAGAAGTCCAGTAAAACATGTACATACATGCATCCAAATAAAGGACTAGCAATGGCAACTTTTATGTTTCAAATTGCACGATGTGTTTGACAACGCAGCTTTAAATAAGCTGAGAGAAATACGCAAGATTTGGAAGAAAAGAAAGTATACAGAGCCTTTTCCATCACCCATATTTGCTAGATCTCAGTCTTTTTAGATCTTTTCATTCCCTAAACGCATGGAAACATGAAAAGGCAGAAAAATTATACAATATCAGATATGTCGTGAAAAAAAATGATATTTATCTGTGTCTTTGGGGCATCCCTAAAGATGAGTATGCCGAGGTTTTCTCTTCATGGGTACAAAGACCTAGAGGTACGACATTGTATTTAACAGGGAATGCCTTGAGAGATTGAAACTAGTAAGATTATACATTACATACTTTTCTTTTTTTAGATGATATTTTACATTTTTACTTGAACGACCCTTGCAGTACTTGCATTATATAAATAAGAAAAGTTGCTGTTGGAAAGTTAAAGCCATCCCGTTTGTTAAAGATATGAGTTCTATCACAAACGGATGGCATCAGATTTTTTTTACTGTCAACTTCCTTTGATTATATTGTAATATTTTTTTAATCAACTGCATTGGTGTTTATGCATCCCTTTTGATTCGATATGTAAAAGCATACCTTGCATTCCTTTTGATTCGATATGTAAAAGCATACTTTGAATACGATCATTTTTTACTGCTCACTGTTTTAATATGTACTGTTGATTTCACACGTCGGTGTGATTCGATGTTATAATTTTATTAAATTTAGTTAATTGATAAAAAAAAAACCATTGCTTGACAAATATGCCACCTGTGTGACGTAGTGGTAAGAATCGCAGAGTAAGGTAATCCTCAATTTTTTCGATGACAAATCACAAAATGTAAAATATTACATAGTTTCGTTTAAATTGAAGAAGCAGTAATGATATGAAAAAGCTCTTTTTTTTTTTTTTATAAATTTTTATAAAGTTTAGAAAGGTCGTTTTGATCGATGTTATAGACTTAAAAAAATGATGATTTGATCCTTAATCTCCTAAAGTAGTGGCGGATCAGAACATTTTGGCCAGCAAAGATGGGCAAAATCTCACAGACAAGAAAGAAAATGTAATTAGCTTGATTAAGTGTAGCATGATACCTTTGTTTTAATTCTGTCTGAAGCAAGTGAAAATCGTTAAAACTTCATAAATGATCAAAGTTGAAAAAATTGGCTCACATTTTTCATCCTAGAATTGATAAAAGATGAAAGCTTATTTTTAATGTCATGCAAATTCTTTGAGGCTTTATATTTTACTCAAGAGCAGAGGGACACATTATACTGCAATTTCTTTGTCGTAAAAAGCAGGGTAATTTAGCATTCGTCATACCATTTGCAAGAAATGAACAAATGGAGCTCAAGACTCGGCACTTACGGTGCCATGGTAACTATTTTGACTTTCGGAATTCTTCTCGGATGTTCTCTCGGCAGTAACCTAGGAAAATGTCTTGATGAATATGAGGGATATTTATTGTTTTTCAACCGTTCGTACGTCAGCTGCTTACAGGAATGTAAAAGACGACCAATGTGTTACTCGGTTAGATATGATCGAAGGATCCTCGTCTGTCGCCTATTTGGCAGATGATTGCTTGGAGCAGCAATTAGGGATTCCATAGTCAATACTGGAAACAAAATTCTTAGCTGTTGGCAAAATCAGCTGGAGGAGTTTGAACATATTCAGGTATTTTCAAGGAAAATCATTTAGGTAAAAATGAAATTATTGAAAAAAAAATATTATTGGATTCTACTGTAGTAACAACTGTAACAAATATTGAACGAAATCATTCTCAAGTTTGATTGACCCCTGCTATGGAATATTAACACTCTTTTACGGGGTAAGATGTAACGTTACAGTTACTTTATACGCATTGGCCGAAATATTTGATTTGTTATAAATTTTCGATGAACTACAATTGATACAAAGGATAGGCCCATAAACGATATTCTGCAAGATTGAACGATAGAATGAAATTGATCTTGAAAAGAAAACTCATTCAAACTCTGGGATGGTAACTAAAAGTCTAAGATTACATGTTCCTCCTTTTTTTGTTTCCAGAACTCGAAGTTTAATTTTTGACTACGTGAATGTTGCTCTAATATTAATAATATATCTAAATAATATTTTAATATAAATAAAATCCATAAATGTAAAGAAGATTTGAAAATTATGATTTTGTTATGAAGTAGAAAAACGTGTTTAATATGTTTAAGAGTTAATTGCTTCTGAAATTTATGGCATGTTAATACATTTTATCAATTGGCTAAGTACGTGTACTATTTGAGTATCTATCTGCTTCTTTTAGGACTACTTTATTAACATCACCAACATTACCACGAAATGTATATTAATGAGAGCTAATAGGTTCAATGTGACTTCTATTGCTCTTTTATTATACTTTACTTTCAAGAAACAAATTATTAATAAAAACATGCATTTTATATCAAATTCTTGAAAAAATTAATAATTAAATATGGTTACGTCTCAGTTGTTAGAAGGTGGTTGTGAAGACTATGTTCACCAGTGTAACGAACATCAAATGTGTTCTATTGATGCTGTAACAGGGGAGCCGTACTGTGAAATTTCAGGTAACTTTTATTTCTCTTTTATGAAGTGTGACAGAAATAAAGATGAGCACCACAGGCACCTGGCGTTATTTATTTTTCTGTTGATCTGTCCACAAAAATGTAGCCATAACTTTTGAGTGGATGGGGTTATGGGTTTCATATTTCAGAGGTGTGTTTCTTGTGACAAGGCCATTCTTTGGGTACAACCGAATTTGACCTCGTGACCTTGACCTTGGAGTCTGACTCATTTTACCAAAAATTTTCGAACTTTTAACCTGGCACTAACTTTGGAATACAGAGTTGGTGGTAGGGTTTTCGTGGTTTTAATGGATTTAAAATTAGTTGACATCTTGACCTTGACCTTAGAGTTGGAATCACTATTTAAAACAACTTTGACCAAGACCATAACTTTTAAACCATTAGTACTAGAGCTTTCATATTTCACAGATGTATACATTGTGACAAAACCTTTCTCTGGATATCAATAATTTTGACTTGACCCTAGAGTTTGACTTGCATTTGAGAAACTTGTAAAAAGAAGTTAAAAGAATATACATTGTATATCAATTATTAAAGGATTCCCAAGGTAGAGAACCTGACGTTTTATTTTATCATTGCAGATTGTGGGGGTAGACCATCTGTTGAACAGGGATATATTATGCACTACGTGAACAGTGCCGTTGATAGTACTGCAAAGCTAGCCTGTAGTGAATTTTACGAAACTGAGTACGGTCACGCTGTATGTACGGAGAAGGGAGAATGGAACATATCCATTGCCTGTAAAGGTAAAAAAAAAAAATCAAATTTTATAAAGCTCAATTTTATTTAATACAGGCCGCTTTTTCTGCTTTAGTAATGTGTAGAAGTGACGTTAATGTCGTTATATATGCATAATAAGCGCATATTTTGATATATTTTAAGCGCCCCGAGACTGTCAGAGACTGAAATACCTTTTCCGTGATGCTAAATCTGGAGTTTACGATATAGCTCCTGTGGAGACCTATGTCATACAAGCATATTGCGAAATGGACGTTCATTTACCCGGAATCCCTCGCGGATGGACGGTAAAGTAACATAGTTTATTTAATGTAACAGTATCTACAATGTAATTTTTTTAACATTTATTTTCAATAAAGCTTTTTTTAAAAATTCATATTGTTATCTTTACTAGTGATTCATGTATCAAGAGAGAATGTCATATTTTTAAGAACGAATTTCTTACCTTTTCTATGATCAATCAAAATCATACAGGACTATAGAAAAGTTGAATTATTAATGTGAGTTATTGTAGGTGATACAAAGACGTATGGATGGAAGTGTGTCCTTTAATCGCACATGGGATCTATATGAAAGAGGCTTTGGAATTCCCTCTGGAGAACACTGGCTAGGTTAAATCGAATCAATGTTTGTTGAATTGTTAGAATAGATTTGTGCTGCACTTAACAAAATATAATTTTACGTTTTATGTAAATTTCTGATTTAATATTTAGGGAATAGTGTCATCCACAATCTTCTAAGAAATAGAGGATCCTTTCTTCTTGTGATGGTGAAGTTTCAATATGAGGAATGGAAATTTGCACTATACACTCAGTTTATGGTTGATGGTTCTGACCTTCAGTATAAATTGTCCTTTGGTCAGTGCTTTGGAAATGCAAGTAAGAAATATTCAAGTACCAAATTGGTTCAAAAAGAGAATTAAAGACCACCGGCACCGGGGGGGGGGGGGGTTATATGATCAAACTATTTTTCCGATACAAATGGGGAAGATGGTGCCGCATTCTGAGAGATGTTCAAGAACCTGTCTGGATAATATGTTTATGTATTAAATCTCTTAATTTTTCGAATTCATGAACAGGATGAAAGGATCACAAAAGGAGATGGGTGAACTTAAAGTGCAAAAAACCCACAAGCTTCAGATATATAAAAATCATATTCAAATTGTGATTTTATAGTATTTAGAGTAAAGTTCTCATTACTGATTTTTGTAAAATCATGATAAACAAAAAGTTTTGAGGAAAATTTTTCGTTAAAATTTATTCTTTTATTAAGAAAAATAATGTGGTATCCATTGGGTTCGAACCCTGGCAATAAAAATCCTGAGTTGCATTCTCTATTGAGACTAGCACGCTAACCACTACGCTACACAAGTCCTGATGAAGTGTGGCATTTAAATCATGTTTGTGATATGACCATTGACTTAAGGGACTTCAAGTATTTCTCGAAAAGATACGAAAGTTATGTCATAAACTTATATTTTTAAGGTATAGTGGGTCATTGCTCCATAATTTTGGAAACCAAAATATGTATGTTTTTATGCCAACTTTGAGGGTTACCTTTCAAAAAAATGGAGAGAAGACCCACTCATATCGAAAAATAGTGTTATAGTGTGAAAAAAGGACTCGTTTTGTCCTCTTTCGTGTGTGTAAAATATTTCATAGGCAAATAACTTCAATTCTCATGAGATTTGTGCAAGTTGTAGAGATTTTACATAAAGTACACTTTAATGTTATGTGAAATATTAAGGAAAATTTTGATAAAATTGAGATTTAATTGTTCACCTTCATGTTTGTCGCACTATGGGCTTATCTCTCGTCATGTTCACCCATCTCCTTTAACGTCATTTTCTGTCAGTGCCTTTTAGGGTAAAAGTGCAATAGAAACCCTTCTCCCGCTTAGATTATGAATAAGGCAACACGATATTCAAAAACACTAAAAAAAATTCCGAAAACTTATTTTTTATCGGTAAAAAGTACATAAACTCTTTAAAATTCTAGGTAATGCCTTGGGAAATCAAGCAGGGAGTGGTCGTTATTTCGCCAATCAGACGAAATTTTCTACAATAGACCAGGACAATGACAAACTGACGGGCACTAACTGCGCCAAACAACAGGGCGGTGGGTGGTGGCACAACGCATGCTCGCTCTCAAACCTCAACGGAATTTTCTGCTCAACAATTTTAAGTTATAAATGGCTTTGCATGACTTGGGAACATGAAGATTACTTCGTCTACGGAGAAATGGAGTCGATTATGATGGTCCAGCGATATAACCTGCAAACTTTGTTGTCCCCCGCTTGAAAAGTGGGGGATATTAATTTGGGTTTGTCCGTCCGTCCGTCCGTCCGTCTTTCTGTCTGTCTGTAACGCTTTCGTTTCCACACGATATCTCGAGAACCCTTTGAGCTTTTGCAATGAAATTTAGCATAGCAACTCCCTGTGGACTAAAGAAGACCCCTATTGATTCTGAGGTCAAAAGGTCAAAGGTCAAGATCATAAATAAGCAATTACTGTCTGTAATAACACTTTCGTTTCCACACGATATCTCTAGAACCCTTTGAGCTATTGGAATGAAATTTTACATAGCAACTCCCTGTGGCCTAAGGAAGACCCCTATTGATATTGAGGTCAAAAGGTCAAAGTTCAAGGTCGTAAATTTATACATTCTGTCTGTGTGTAATACTATTATTTCCGAGCGATATTTCAAGAAGATTTTGAGCTTATGCAATGTAATTTTATATCAAAACTCCCTAGGACGTCTCTCGCCCCTCTCAAAGTGCCCCGCCCCGTTTGTTTTATTAGTATTTATAGTATTACATGTCGCTATTTTTAGCGCAGGGGCATGAGGAGAGTTATTGCGTATAAAACAGGTTCTCGGCGGGCTTTATGTTCTTATTACATCTATTAGAACTGTTTAATAACGGCTAAGTAAATCAAACACCATGGATTGTGTAAAATTTTGAGAATACCGAACATGAAAACATGAATATATATATGTATGTGACTTCACTTCTGCATATACTTCATATACTGAAAGGAAAAAGAAACGCAGGGTAGCATAATTGTCGATAAAAAGTTGACCACATGACCGAAAATTACGAAAATTGGTCAGATGGGAAATTTAGTTACTGTGCATCAAAATCAGTATTCTGAATTACTCAACCGTTAAATTTATGACGTCACGTAGGGAAAACGCTAAAAAGCCCCAAACACGTGCAATTTGATAACGACGTGTTTGTTCACAAATCTTGTTGCATTATTTGATGCAGATGAGGTGTGCACATCGTTTTTCAATATTAAGAGACATTATGAATTTATTGCAATCTTGGCTACATTTACGGAAGTTCAATGGGGTCTTGTTTTTGAATTGCCTAATTAATGAAAAAGGCAACAACGGTTTACTAAGCAGTCTCTTGTAAATTTTCCCCCATAAAACGTTTTAGCCGTTATTAGAGAGGGTCTGGAGTGAATTTCAATCAACCGTGACGCTGACGTTAACGCAAAACAGAGCCATGTTACAAGCGGGTTATTCATCCTGCCATCTCTTAAATCGCCACCTTATTACCACAAAAACATCCATTTATAGTGTACACGATTATAATCATAAAATTCATACGAAATTTGAAAGAAAACAATTCCGCAATTTGGTTTTTTGAGCCAGTCAACTTACTGTTGTATTCCTCTCAATGGCGCATGCGCGCGTCGTATGACTTATTTTTTTGCGTGGTCACCCATGCTAAATATAGCCAGGGTTTAAAAGATAAACACTCTGATGAAATTCCATGCAAAAGAGAAATAAGACTCTGACAAATGCACGAGATGGACATTGAAGATAATGAGAGTTTTCAATTTTCCCTTTTGGGGGGTATCGTCATTTGAGCTTCAATAACTCATGAATAATTAGACAAAATCACACGAAAATTTGGTTATATCTTCTTGATTGATGATTTTAAACGATAGATAGGAAAACTAAAAAGCATTTTAAGAAAAACAAATTTAATTCACCTCAAAAGTTTACCCTGCGTTTCTTTTTCCCTTCAGTATATAATGTATAGCGATTCCGTGGTCTAGTGGATATGTCGCTCGCTTGAAGTGTGAGAGGTCCCGGGATCGAATCTTGGTTGTACCTTTCTGTTTTTTTTTTTAAATACTTTTTTTTTTACTAAATGATAGTATTCAGCATGTGAAATGAAAAAATTTATGAGGTTATAAAATCATCATTACAGTGTGATAAATATTCCATGTAAAAAGAATCTTCTATACACATAATAAAGAATAAGCAATCAAATCTTTATATGCATATTGACATACATGTATTTTATTTGCATAAGTATACATTTAATAATTCTATAAATTCAGTCAGGGGGAGCCGACTTTTTCCCTAAGCGGGGGACACGAATTCTCTGAATTAGCTTGTTAAATCTTCAGAATGACTCTAGGTATCCAAACTGTACGACGCTCTAAACTTTAATAAAACAAAAAAACCGTGTTAGTGTGCTAGACAAAAGAGAAAAAGGATCAGTAAAGTTTTCACATCACTGAAACCAATAACTATTAAAGATAGATTTTCTTATCAAAGTTTGTCCCTATAATTACCGTCTGTTTTTGCTTATTTTTAAAAATTTAATTCTTTCTAATCCTGGCAACCAACCCAACAACAAAAGTTTATTATAAACATAATGGTCGTCAAATTCCCTTATTTTAATGGAAAATTTCATTATATCAGCTGTATTTAGAGTTTTTGTTTCGCGGATAATTCATTAAGCAAGAGCATGCTCTACGTACGAACTAAAACAAGGCATGCTATTGACAAATAGGCTGACGATAGAAGGACATCCACATCCTCGTTTATGTCAACATTCACTAGTACCATGGTAAATACAATAACCCTGTAAGCAAATCCAACCTATCGTTAAGTCTTATTATTATACCTCATTATAAATATTCTAAACAACGCGTTATTTGATTGGTTCTAAGTTATCACGTGATCGAGCCGTAAAACTTCATATTTCCCGGCCGTCGGCATGCTTTTCATCATATTCCACCTCTTCGGATACTTAGTGCATTTTCCCGCAAAAATTATCGTTCGTTTGAAGAAAACTCCCTAGAGTATAGTAGACGTCACAATTACCTGGTTTACATCACAAAATTGATGATAATGTGTTGACCAAAGAGTTTTAGTAACTTTTTGTTAAAAATGAAAGTGAATTTGAGAGCGGTGTCGAATTTGAAAGTTTATGTTTATTTCAAAGGTTTTGCTTGTTTCGGTATAATAAACAATTCATTGCATGAATGTTCGGGAAACATGAAGACTTATTCAGCCAAGAAATATCATATTCCCCTCGGGCGAAGCCCTCGGGGAATATGATTTTTCTTGGCTAAATAAGTCTTCATATTTCCCTCACTATCGTGCAATAAATGTATAATACTGACTGACGTCTTTTATACAAGATTTTAGGCCACTTTCACACTGAAATGTCCTAGAATTTTTCGTTTGCTTGATCATGACAGCATTTGGCGAGCATGACCGGCCGACAGATGATGCTTCTACCTCCATGGCATCTGATTCCACCTCTAATCTATAAGGGATCCGTGTTTGCTTTGAGTCCGATTTGTATTGTTTTAATGGTATTTTGAGCTTGATTACAGTTCGTTATCTTCACAATCCTCTGTTTTTGCAATGAAATGTTGAATGTTTATTTTATAATGATTGGTTTAGTCAAAGCTAGTTAGATGATTTAATTTAAGTTCAATTGTATGCATTGTATGACAAAGTCGAGAATATACTTTTTAGCTCACCTGAGCCGAAGGCTCTATTTGCATTTTTTTGGCATCCGTCTGTAATCTTTTCACATTTTAGACTTCTTCTATAAAAAAAAAAACACATTACCAATTTCAACCAAACTTGCCACAAAATATTCTTGGGGGAAGGGGATTCAAGTTTGTTCAAAAGAAGGGCCACTCCATCTTCCAAACGAAAAAAAAGCAAATTCAAAGAATTGTGGTCCCCCACTTTCGGTGTCTTTGTGGATGAGATGTCATTTTTTATGACACATTGTGTCTAATATGAACACCCTATCATATGTCATTTATTTAGAAATTATCTTTTTAAAAATAAGGTCAATTGTAAAGGTCAAGGTCAAGGGGTAAGAATTCATAGCATGCTCGGAAATATCTTGTCACAGGTAATGCACATGTCAAATAAGTCCTATCTCTTCTCAATATAAGGAACAAGATGTGTTTGTGAAACACAGATGACCTCGTATGGCAACATAACAAAGATTTAACATTTCTTAATTCAAATGAAATATATTTGATATTACCCAAAGTAGGGTTTTCAGACAAGAAATACGATTGTGAAATACAAAATCCCACTCCCCTGTTCAAAAGAAAGTTATGGCCAAGGATACATTTTTGAAAGGTAGGTCAAAATCCAAGGTGAAAGGATCTGAATTGTTGATTTCTTTAAAAAGGTCACAAGTAATACATATGTGAAGGATGAAAACCCTGACCTTAACCACTCAATAGTTATGGCCAAGGTAAAAGTTTTGGAAAAGTAAGTCAATCTCCAAGGTCAACGTCAAAGGGTCAAAGTTCTTGGTATCCAATGAAAGGTCTTCTCATAAGGATTACATATGTGAAGTACGAAAGCCTTAGCCCTTACCGTTCAAATGTTATGGTCAAGGTTAAACTTTTTTTTTCAAAAGTATGGAAATCTCCAAGGTCAAAGTCAAAATGTCAGAATGGTTGGTATCCAATGAAAGGCCTTGCCACAAAAAATACATATGTGAAATATGTAAGTCCTAGTTTCTACCATTCAAAGATATGGTCAAGGTTAAAGTTTTTTCATAAGTACGGAAATCTCTAAGGTCAAAAGGTCAAAGTTGTTGGTATCCAATGAAAGGTCTTGCGACAAAAAATACATATGTGAAAAAATATGAAGTCCTACATGTAGTATCTACTGTTCAAAAGTTGTGGCCATGGTCAAAGTTTTTGAAAATTAGGTCAATCTCCATGGTCAAGGTCAAAGGGTCAAAGTTCTTGGTATCCAATGAAAGGTCTTTTAACAAGGATTACATATGTAAAGTACGATAGCCCTAGCCCTTTCCGTTCAAAAGTTATGGTCATGGTAAAAGTTTTTTCATAGGTCTCTAAGGTCAAGGTTAAAAGGTCAAAATTGTTGATATCCAATGAAAGGCCTTGACACAAAAAATGCATATGTGAAATATGAAATTCCTAGTTTCAACTATTCAAAAGATATGGCCAAAGTAAAAGTTTGGATTTTTTGTGTAAAAGTGGGT